GAGGCCTCATTTCTGAGAGATGATTGCAGTGGCAAGGTGTGTAGTGGTGGCAGACAAGAAATTGCTAGGCCCTAAATAGTTATTAAATAGTATAAAATAGTGCAACAGGAAATTAATAGGTGAATTATGATGAGAGCTTTACCATCACTCCGGAGATCCTACTGATAGGTGTCAGTTTCCTATGACTAATCTGGGGTCAGGCTCTTCTATAGAAGTCAGCGATCGGCAGACCCAACCTACCCCACAATTTTCGCTGTCCAGACAGATCCGATCGTCTAGAGTGAACTGAATGACCCTAGGAAGGAAGACATTTTCGACGTGCACAAAATTTGGCTGGAAATTTGATCCAAGGGCACTCTTTGGGATTCGGCGCCACTTACCCCTACCTTACCCTTGCCATTGGCTGCTATATGAGATTTTGTTTCGAATATTGTGATGCTCGAGGAACCTTCCCAGTCAATGTTTGTCGTACTTCAGTTCTCGCTACCTATCTATTTCCTAGTTATTTGCTCATGTAATCCAATTCCATAAGAACATCCGCATCTTTGCTGAATGTAACCGAAGAAGCTGCCCAAGTTTTTGCTTTCACGCTAGGCCATCAAAAATGCCCTGTTGCAGATCCTCCCGAGGAGATCGGAGTGGATCTCACCGATTCAGAAGTCCTCTATGCAAAAGAAGGCAACACTTACAATCTCCGTTTGGCCAAGAGCAAACTCATGGAAGAATTGCGGTGCGATTTCAATAATCGCTCTGCGCCCAGTAATGTGATTTCTTTGGTGAGTGCTTATTAATCCTATTTATTTGTTTGTTTATTATTTACTTGTTGTTCTCATCAACACAGTTTCTACTTGCGTTAGAGTTCAGGTTGCCAAAAGGAAAACCGCTAATCATCATTTGAAAATTGAACACATCTCAGCGGACAATGTTGGCGAGTATAACTGCACACTACGACTCTATAAGAAGGTACAAATAAATCTTTGATAGCTCAAAATTTAACTGCCTTTCAAGGAACAGATTGCGGGTACAGTTTCCGTCATAGCCTTAGATGGTATTGGGGACAGGTTCCGCTTCGGCTTAGAAGTGTTTTTGAAATACTGTAATGAAACGATCGTTGCAGGATTTCCGTACCAAGAAGTTCTCAGTCGTTCTCGGATCGGATCCACGGCTCTCTTCTGTCGAAGGACTTTTCACTTACACTTTCTATCGGTTGCATTGTTTTGTTAATGATCTCTTTAGCTTGAAGCATAGGGATGGTTAAAAATTACAAATTACAAGCGACCTTGAGCTAATATTTCATAACGGTCTTTTGATGGTGGCTGGAAGGCACTTAAAAGGGGGGTTATACGACTAGTACCGTAAACGTATAACCGGGCCGATGTCAGACTTTGCGAATCGCGCGATTCGCTAGCGTCCGCGGTCGCGTTGCGGTACCAGCCAATTGAGTGATTCACTGGCCGCGACGCGACCGCAGACGCTAGCGAATCGCGCGATTCGCAAAGTCTGACATCGGCCTATATGAAGTCATTGGCGACAGACAGGGGGAGAATGCAGTGTTTGTGATGTTGTGTGTTGTGTGTGTGTGATGTGTGTGTGTGTGTGTGCTCAAACACATACTCTGTGTGTGTCACGGAATTCATAAGCGCCTATACATCGGTAATCAGGTAACAGTGAGCGCTATATTTCAGTTCAACGCTTGATGTTCAGGGGTGATAAGACATATCTTTGGGGGGGGGGGGGCAACGTGACACAACTGAATAGGCTTAATAAGAGGCGAAGAAATATAATATACGAATCTACGGAAAGCACGCAGCTATTCAAAGCTTTGATCAACAATGATTAAGGGTCGGACAGAACATGTTATGAAAGGGAACAGGAAGTGAAACGCTTATAAGCGATAGCGATTGCGTAAGCACATAGAGCTAACTCGAAACCAACTTTATATAATGCCATTCGTTACATTTACGTTACAAACCTCAGCCCCGAATACCATTCGACAGCTACACTATCCAGAATCCTACAATATATAAGCGGCTAAGTGTGTTTGTGTTTGTGTGTATGTTTGACCGAAAGATTGTAGCTCGAGTCACAGTAATGATAGCGCATGGTTCTACATCAATTTTAGGGGTAGATGGGGACACAAGTGGTATGATAAGAACACGGGCAGGGGGGGCCGCGCGGGGGGCGGCGTTAACGACGATAATAGCTGATAAGAGGGGCTAGAAAGCGAGCATCGCCAATTTCGTTTTGTCGTTCATATTGGTACTAGAGCGTCTATACTTACAAGTGTTATGTGGGGGTGGTCCCGGGACATTGGTGGTACATGATTGGAAGCGATAGCAACTGATAAGGGCTGATAAGGGCGTCAGAACGCAAAAGTCGTCGATTCCGTTACCTGCTCGCGTTGACACCAGAGCGTCCATACTTACAAGTGTTATGTGGGGTGGGACGGGGACATTGTTGGTGGGTGCCAGAAACTGATACAACTGATAAGGGCTGATAAGGCGCGTCAGAACGCAAAAGTCGTCGATTCCGTTACGCAGCTTCGTAAGAATGTATGGCGATTGTACGAAGAAATACGATAACGAGTACTGGTATTTATGTTCCAAATCATACATCAATCTATTCGACCGCTAAATTATCTGACATTCGATGCATGGTGGTTGTTTACAGACACCACTTTAGCTCCGCACTCCACCGCGCGTATCAGACGGTGGGCTTGAAAATGGGCAGCCTGTGGAAGGCCAGCTAACGCATTTCACGAAGCAACTTATTGTTTAGCGGTGGAACCTAACGCTCCGCCGGCTGCCCAGTTTCAACAAAGCCTGCCGTGCATGCGCGCGGAAGCGTGCGGAGCTTACCTGCTACTCAATAGTATTGGTATGAGGACACACTACAAAGAAATACAAGCAGATTGTACCACATAATATTGGGTTGGAGCATAATATCGTAGCGCTCGCATTCGGCAAAAACGTTCAAAGCAAAACCCAAAAGCAAAGCCAAGCATAAAACTAATCAGTGATGTTCTTCTCGTCATTATTTACGACTTTGATTCCATTTCGCAAGAAATTACCGGATTCAGAATTTAAAAAAGGGTACTGAGCCCGTTTTCAGAGTCCTCATTATTCTCAATTTGTACGACGTGAATATGATCCTGAAGGCAAGATTCAGGATCAAATTGTTGAAGTACTTCTACTCAAATGTGAATCAGGGGTGGAAGGTTACCTTTGAACATGTCACTGGCTCAATTCAGACATTGGGTGACTAATATGCTGCTAAGCTACGAGGTAGAGTATTAGCGTTTTCGGAGACTGACTGCTGAATTAAACCGCCTCTCCATCTGTTACTGTCAGATTTGACGTTATCTTGACTGACTTTTTCTTCTTTTGTTGCTTTATTAGTGTGGACGTTATGTTTGATTCTTTTTTTTTTTCGAAGTTGTATCGTTTTTTTTCCACATGTGCCTTTTGCACACGTAATAAATCTAAATCTAAATCTAAAGGTGGACCGCAAGTGGAGAAAGAAGGGAAAAATTACGTTGCGGAGAAGTTCAAAAGGCCGGCAGGGAGATGAGAGATAATGTGAGCGCGGAGAGCGCTAGAGAAGTCCGAGTAGAGAGAGCATAGCAGATCAACATTGCGACGCAGACAAGATATCGAGCGGTGGGCGGAGCGTGTCGCAACAGGTAAACGTATAATAACGAATAATGTATGCTATACGGGCTGCCTTCTGCATTTGCGTCCACGCACTCTTAGCGCATAATACAACACAAGAGCCTAAATAAAAATCGAAAACTATGACTGCGAACTTTGCCTCTTAAGTGAGGGTCCGAAAAATGATATGTTCGATGATGCGATGATTGCTGAAACTCATATTTGTCAGGCTTACTTCTTTAATAAATTTTCGATCCACGACATGATTTAAACAACTCATATGCACATTTCTGTCTCACTTTTTACATGAAAAAATACAAACAATTGAGCTGAGCGCATATCTTCGAAGATTGAAGAAATAATAAGGTTTGTACTGAGAGAGAGAAGAACGCGTGTAAACTATTTGTTTAATTTTTATTTTTTATGAAGGCGAGAAAAAGCACTTTTCAAATGCTTTAACGGTTTCTCGGTATACTTGTGTTTAACTGAATTTGCATCAAAAAACTACATAATTGCTAAAGCCCAGATAAGTAAATGCTACAAAAGTTCCTGCAGTGGTATGGGAAAAGCATGGGGCATTAATAAAGAAACATTCATATACAGTATTGCACACGTTGGACCTCAATGGAGAAAAAATGGTATAAAAGAGGAAAAAGAAAGGCGGAAGGGAAATAGAAAAAGAAACATCTTTGGGTCAATGCAGACTACTTAGTCCTACATATATTTCAGTATTGTTATTAGCGGACCCATCAATGCTACCGAATTATAATATGGTTCCAAAGAAAAACTCAGAAATTGTCGAGTGGACCAAAAAGAAAAATGGAGTTGATATGAGCACGGCGGAGCTAGCCGTCCTTATAGACAAGGCAGGTGATGTCGTTCCTGGTATGGACGCAGTACTCATGAGTGTGAACGATGTAGGAGAAAGCGCATTCAGCGCAGATCACGCCAAAACTGCCATCGAAAGCTCGGCTGATTGCTCGATGTACTGCTCGTTTGGTCTCGGCCATTTGCTCGCCCATCGACTGAAAAATTCATTTTTCTTCCATTTCGGACAGCGCTGTTATAGTTCAAGTCACCGCTTATGAATACTGAATAACATGGAATATAGGATATTTTTGGATTGCGCCATGTACATGGATTTGTTCATTATTGGACGGTGGCATTTTCAGCGTTTATTTTGACTTATCCAAAGGAATGGGGCAGCATACGAATGTCCAGTAAAAGCTGACCTCCTTAAACTGTGGCGTTGACTAGGACTCCGGAAGGTGGTTGGCCTAGAAGGGTTTGAATTTTGGTGCGGCGCTGGCCCCTGGTCTAGACCAAAAATCGTAAAATTAATAGATGGGAAGGAATTGACTTATAGGAACTTCAATTATACGTATCCAAAGAATTCTCAGTATTCGAGGGATTCTGAAGAATCACCCTCCCTTTCAAAAAGCGAGAAGAGTGTCGGGTGCAGACCATACACCACAAGTGACGACGGCCTCCAAGTAAATCTGGTTAGTAGTGGTTCATAGTGATAGCTGATTTTGGTAAATGATAGTTGTAATTAGTGACAACTGATAGAATACAACTGCAACAGGCTAATCATTTTCATTGGCAGAAAACATTTGCATTTTGTGGAGGCCGTCGTCACTTGTGGTGTATGGTCTGAACCAGTTGGGCTTTTCAAAGACAGATGATGATCGACGAGATTTTACGCTGGTCCTTATCACTAATGTACACGTACATTTGGTACCAATTACTCCGACTCAAGCCATGCCATTTTTTACCATTTCGAAGGGTTCAATCCTGCGCATGGAGACGTGTGGTGCTATTCTGAGCATTAAGCTTACTTTCCATGCTGGAGATTCCTTTATCAAGGGACAAGTGTTTTGATAAAATATGGCGTTTGGAGGAGGTAGTGTAAAGACCAGGGAAGCCGACCAAACCAATCAAGCCTTTTCTTACGAGGCTGATTGACTGGCACCGAAATTGTATGAAAGGACATAAACACTACGATTTCAAGG